GAAATACAGAATTTATTAGGGAAATGTATATCATAGACACCTTTTAATTTATATTTCAATACTGCTTAAAGAATGATTGATTTTGATTTGGTTATTTAATAATTTTTCTCAATAAAAGCCCATTTTCTGGGGTTCATCTTCCTTTTTTTGGCCTTCTCCTTCTTTGGTTAGTGGACAACCTTTGACCTATCCGCTTCGGGAGCAATTATCACCACCAAATCGAGTGTGTGGTGCCAAATTTCGAATGCCCTGCAAAAGCTAGTAGAGCCCATAATGCGCTTATCAGTGTCACCCACACACTTTCGCTTTCGGTTTCGCCTTTGCATATGCATGAGCTTATACTATAGCGACCAACTGTGCGTATGCGTAATGTGCGTATACGTAATATTTCACTCTAAAGTGGCACCTGAAGGGGGTAAGTACAATTTCAAAGGGATTTTCATTAATAAGAACTTTGAAATTTACAAATCTTCATCAAAAAACTTGGAGAACATACTGAAATAAAGCGAAAATATTCTTTAAAAATTTGAAAGTTATCGCTAATAGATATAGATATTTGATAATTATTTATTTGTTTCATAAACAATTTTAGTAATCACTAAATCACATTTAAATAAAACCAGTCTAAAAAACACTGCAAAAAATATCTCTCATAAGCTTCTTAGTTAATTTATTCCACTCCTTTTTTGTTCTTTACTGCACATTTACATTTTTGAGAGTTATAAACTGTTGCGCCCCAAAATAAAATAATAATAATTCCATGCACCAAGAACCAAAAGGGTACACCCAACGGTGGCAGTACAATACAAAAAAAACGTATGTAATAAAATGAATTTTTATGTCGCATTTTCGCAATGCAGGATAACGCACACAAACCATAACACACGAAGAGAAGGCCGTCACCTCGGCAAAAAAAAAAGAAAGAAGAGCAATATATATGTGTATGTTACCTTTGGTCCAACCATTCTTAGCCCCTTAACCCCACACAGAGACAGACTTTCCTCCCATGCCATACCTCGCCGGCAGGCTGGATGCATTCCTGTGAACCAAAAGCGAACCGAACACATTTACACATGTAAGTGCATAAAAAATGTTTATGAATTTCAGTTTATGGCGCGTAAAACACGCCAATAAATGTACCAAGGCATTAAAAATGCCTTTTTCCCCCAACGGGTACACTTTGCCGCACTAATAAACAATCAGAAATGGGCATAAAGTATGGGGAATCGGGCAAATGGCAACGACATTGGGGAATTTTTGGGTGCCTTTTTTCTCTCGTTGGTGTTGTTGGTGTTGGTGTTGTTGAAGTTGTTATTGTTGTTGTTATTCCTCTCTGTATCTTTTGTTTTGGTTATTTTTTACCGGAAGGTGTTAGTCGCTCCGCTGGCGCAGTTCTTGTGGGCGCTTGTCCCCCTTCACCGTCATCCCCATGAATATTTATGCAAAACACTCATACGCCCCGTTGTACGCTGTATGTCTGCTGTTGCTCCATTCGCGTCAGTCGCCTCTTTCTGTCCTCTCCTATACCAAAACTCCTTGGTGTTTTCTTATTGTTGGCTGCGTTATATGCCAAGTGCGCTCTAATGCACTTTACGACACTTTATGGCACTTTTCCGGGGGGCTGGGGCACACAAACGTAGATATCTGGCAAATGTAAATTATGGCAAATTGATGAGAATATGCATATGTGGCCTGGCCCTGGGCTTGGCTTGGCTCCACGTTTGCTGCGAAAGTTTTTTGTGTGTCCGTGTCAGACTGTCATTGAAAATCTAACATTCGGGGCAATCCTTTTTGATTGAATTAAAGCCAAAAAAAAAAAAACATTTATTTATTTGTTTGATTTTTCGATTTTATTTAGCTTAAAGGCTTTAAATACTTGCAGTATAAGCCATGGTGTTGATGAAGTTAATTAAGTTTACAAATGAATAGTCAGTAAAAATATCTGAGGAATTGCAAGATTTTGATTATTTAAATGAATAAATGAATGTTATTGATTTTTATTGCTTTCTTTTCACAGATAAATGATTTTATATTTAAATTCCCCTTAAATTGGAGCTTATTTTCTCCGAGAATTTCTCCGAGCAACTGTAAGCCTCATTTTCATTGAAAATCCTTTCTCTACCTTCAACATTTCGTGCTGGAATCTCGAACGATTTGCTTGCCCACAAAATGACACCAGACATTTGCGTCAATTGCACACTTTTTCGTTTGTATTTTGGGGCTAATGAAAGTCCTGGACAGTGTCCTGGCCTGATCCTTGAGTTTGGATTTAGGGGCATTTGCCTTGTTCTTTTTTTTTTTTTGCTCTCGACGCGTCTCTATCTCTCTCTTTAGCCATGCAAATGGTGGATGAGTTTTCCCCCACGGATGAGTTTTTCCCCCTTCCCATTGGAGAAGCCTCTGTTTTTGGCCATTCTGCCTCGTTATTCCCTTCGGTTTGTTGTGGATGCTTTTGTGAGTACTACTTAACGCCACAAGGAATCGCCTAAGACAACTGAAGCGCAAAAAATGCGAAAAACATGCAGAGAATAAAGTGGAAAATTGCGTGGGCGACAACAAAAAAATTAAGGATGGATAAATCGACGATTGGGCGGTGGGGCGTATAATCAAAGCGTTTGGTTATCAAAGATTCCGGAGAGCAGAGAGTAAAGAGCAAAGTTATGCATAAATTTTGGACACTGTCGCGACTAACGATTTTGGTTTTGCTTTGTGTTATTTTTTGTATTTTGTTTCACCCACAATCGATACAGGAAACAAATTAGTTTCGCCTTAAAAACACAAAGCAGAGTATCAAAATAAAATTTCAACAGTCGAATGGCAAGAAATAATACAGCAAAAAACAAGTGAAAGTGCCGAAAGCCCCACCTCATGTACGTTGAATCAAAAAATACACTGGAACTTGAAGGGAGAAGTAGACTTTTACACATTTATGTTTAATTTATAAGTAATTATAAAAAAATATTAAAAGAGATGGTTAGTTTTATATTTCAGGTTTTGAGTTAAAGATTTCTAAAATTGAATAATAAATTCTGATAAATAAGAAACGAATTTTGGGAATATATCCAGAACATCTAAAGTTTACTATATATTTACTATATATTATAAAATAAATATAAATTTTAAACGCTTTATAATTCAAAATTGCAAAATTTAAAACAAAATTTCTTATCAAAATTCATTTTATAATAATTCAATGCAAAAATACAAAGTTGTTTTTAAGTTTATAAATATTTATATAGCAACCAACTTAATAATTGACTTTGAAACAGTTTTTCTTTGTTAGAAATTTCAATAAAACAAACACTTATTCTCAATCATTGACTAATTTACAAAAAAAAATAAATTTAATTTGATTACTTCATGCATTTCCTTTAGTTAAAAAATATTTTAAAATTTAAAATCACTTCTGTTTGACTGTCAACAAAACTATTGACATATTTCTTTATCTTTTTTCTTGGACAAATATCTCAAATATATTTTAAAAAAACTTTTCTTAGCAGGTGTGAAATTTGTTGAAAGATTTAAATTTCTTGCCGTGATCAAACAGGGAGAGCCCAAGGATCCTAAGTGACATTGTTTGTTTGCGGGGCCGCAGGACACGAACAGACACGAGAGCCTAATAATAGCCGCACATAAAATTTTATTAGCACGAGCGTAACAATTCAATTGGGTCATGCTTTATGGCGCCGCAGGGGTGGCGACTGGCGGTTTCCCAAAAAAAAAAAGGGGGGTCCGGTCCGCTCCGGTCCGGTTCAGTTCAGTTCGCAAAAGGCGGATGGGCGTGGCAGTCAGTCGTCGTCGTCGTAGCAAGCAAACAAAAAAAGGCCACCCAAAAATTTGGGTCACTCCAAGTGCAGTGTAGGCCTCAAAAACAGGTTAAAAAAGAACAGAGCGAAGGATATGTGCGTCCAGGAGTTTACCTTTATCAAAGGATGTCAGCGCCAACAAAAAATCACTTTAAAATCCTTGAATGCTATCGGTTTAACCCTATATATTCAATTAAATTCATAGACTCTCTTAAATTAAGGATATAAAAAAATTATAAACTCTATTATTGACTTTATACACAACTATTTTAATTGAGTGCATAAAGGTGTTCATCTGTAAATTCCATCAGTTTATTAAGAGTTCAAATCCTGCCTTATCCCTTTGACTAATTAAATTTCGAAATACCATATCAAACACCCACATTCATACCATTTTCCTTCCTTTGTCTTTAATTCCATTGAAATCCTTTAACAAAATTCCAAAGAAAATTGCAATACACTTGCTCGACACTTGATGGGATTATCATTTATTTTTGGTGCTGACATTTCGCCAGCGGCGAAAACTCAATTTGAGGAAAAACTCATTTGTTGCTACAACGACGAAAGGAGCGCAAAATTGTTTGAACAAACACCCAGCAATTGTCTTACACTTGGCATCAATTGGATTTCCGTTATGTAGCTACCACGTGGAAGGTTTCATTTCTTGGGCCAAGTTAATAGCACAAAAAATAACATTATATATGAAATTTATGATGTAAAATATATATTGTTTTTTTTTTAAGACAAAAAGTGAAGTTTAAATGTTGGTTCCATTTATCTTAGACTTGTATGTGTGTATAAAATAAATTAATAAAATAAATAAACATGCAGAAAACTTCATAAGTATATATATTAGAATCATTTAATCTTTAAAATTTTAATATATGTATATAAATTCTACCAATCTAAACTTGACTTCTATTGCCTTGCTTATGGCTGTACCTTTGGACTTGTGTCTGTTCTCTTAGCTGCTTCTTCTTTATATTCCGTATCCTGGTCTTATCCTTGCCGTTCTTCTTCTTTCCCTATATTTTACAGTTACTTGTGTGAAGGACTCTGGCTGTGAGCAAGACAGAGCGAGGGGCTTAGAGAGAGACAGGGAAACAATAAGACTGAAGCTGGCAAACCTCTCGCAAAATGCTAAGAAGAAGAAGAAGCGGCTACAACACGCAGCAGCAACAACATCAGCAGCAGCAACAACATCAGCAGCAGCAACATCAGCAGCAGCAACTAATAGCAGATGAAAATCAAAGGTTAATCCATAGCCACCCACGCTGCTGCTATTCTCTGCTAATGTTGCTAATTGTTGGCCAAGCAGTTTACGGTAAGTGCCAACAGAACATACTATAGCTTAACTGAAGTATAACATATATACTAAACAATACAATTTGCTAACTGAATATATATACTATAGCTTAACTGATGTATAACATATATACTGAACAATACTATTTGGCATTTATCTGAGTTGTTAACCAATTAGCAGACAAAAGATTTCCCATTGAAACTATTTCGAGCTTTGTTTTGTATTTGTTCTTCTCTCTTTAGTTTTCTCTCAGTGCATGGCAGTTGGCATCTTCACACATGCCCGAGTGTAACTTTTATTGGGTTGAACATGGTCGGGAACTTGGCCAATGCCCCGTTCTCTGACCTCATTAGACGTTCATTTGTTTGCTTATTTATGCAGACACACATACACACAGTCAAAGAGATACTATATACATATATATATATGGATCATCATTAGATATATATATTTGGCCATATGGCTTTTTGTGGTCTCTTGTGTTACCAATTTTGCACTCACACAAGTCCAGAATGCATACATTTTCGCTTCGCTTTTGGCCATAAAAATTGGAATTCGAATGGCCCCAAATTGTATGCTACACAAAAGGCACGCACCAAGATGATGTATGTGAGTGTGTGTGTGTGTAAGTGTTTCTATACACTGACAGATTAATTGTGGACTTAAGAAATTAATCTCAATATCAGAAACATTTTTAGAGACGCAATTTGACATTTTAAAGCCGTAATAATTAAGAAATTACTTTAAAACGTAAATTATAAGCAAGTCTTTATAAGACTGCTTATTTTTCCTCCGTGTATTTTCCTTTGTATATATAAATATTTATACGTGCTTGGCTGGATTTTTGTGTGTGTTTGTCTGTTTGTAATTAATTGACTCGCACATTTTTTCGCATAAAAACAAGTTGCAAACTTTTTCGCCCAGACATTGTTTTTTTTTTTTGCATTGCCAGCTTGTTTATTTTTCTTTCCGTGTGCTGCTGTCAAGGTCGTTTGGAAGAGGTGGAAATTCAGCGGTATTTTTTTGGGCCATACACTTACTTGAGTTTTGAGGAAAAGTTTACTATCTCTTATTTTAAAAAGTAAAAGCAGGCTACAAGATATAGTCAAGTAACTCTAACTGATTTTACCTTTTTATACATTTTAATATCAATAAAAAGCATAATAATAGAGTAATCTTTAATTTAAATATACTTTCAAGGATATACAAACTTCCGCTTGCTATTATCCTCCTTTTATATATTTTAATGATAAAATAATATTAAAAGTGTTGATAAGCATTTTGGTGGAGGTTTTATTTTCCATTCCCATTTTTCTGGCGCTCAAACAAAGTTACCCAACACACACACACACAGAATTTCCTTTTATATACAATATATTATTTGTCCTGTACCTGCATAAGTACCTGACCCCTATTAATCGAGTTGAGTTTACTTAATGCGCAGAAATATTTCAATATTTAACTATGAGGTTACAACATTTTCACCCCCAATTTGAAAGATCCAAGTTAAATCTAGCAGATATATTGCTTAAATTGTCCATCGATTGTTTGTTAGTGGCATTGCTTTAAACAATCAACACCTACTACCTTCCGGATGCTGGGACTACGCCCGCTGTCCGCCCATAGAAATTCCTATAGAAGGATGCATTCCCTCAAATGGAGTAATTGATTGACGCTATTGGTCAAGCGTTTACCAGAACATCCTTGCGGCTTCCCATGCAGTTGGGGGCATCCTTGGCAGGGATTCATTTAATTGCCGGACAAAGTCCGTTCGTCCTTGTCGTCGTCGTCGTCTTCGAAGTAATTTCAAATGTCTCTAGCTCACCAAACTGACAGATTTTTGCCCACCTGGGGTGAAATAAAGGACATTATTTTGACCTTTGGCAATTGGAGATGCAGCGGGGGCAAGGGTCACCTTTGTAACCCGAATCGTTTAGTGGAAAAGAGGAAGGAAAAGCCATCGAAAAGCCACCAAAGGAATGAATGAACCAACGGGGGTGGGGACACTTTGAGCTTCGGCTTATAGAAATTCCAGAATAATTTGACCAAATTTCGTTTTTGCTGATAATAATTTATGTAGCCTCTACGACTGGGTCTTAAAAGGGTAGGGCAGCTGTCATCGGTCTATCGTAATTGTAAATTAATGCATGCAGAAAATGTGACCCACACACACAAGATGGCGGCGGACCGGAAGTCACTCAAAGAGAGAGAGAGAGAGAGTCAACCCTGCTGTTACCCTTAAACCTATTGAGGCCACGTGTTATAAAGTTGACTTAAATTGGTAGCTAAATCAATTTTAATTACAGTACCCAAATACATTTTTTTTTAATATTAAACGGAAGCTTTTATCCAAGGTATTTCCCTATTTGTACGAGGAATTGCGAGTGAAAATATTCACAGATCAACAAAATAAATAATATAAATAGAATGTCATACGATTCGATGGATTTTGAGGACAAATCAAATTGCAATGAATGGAGGAGCAGGAGAACTGGGGAAACCCCTTTGCCAGTGGGGGATTGCGTTTATTTATTTGAAATTAGAAACTGCCAACTGTTCCCAAAAGTGGCCATTAATTAAAGGCTATGGGCTGCCTGCTGGGCCAACTAACTACTGGGGATTGTGTAATGACTGCAAAATGCTAACAAATAGCCCCTGCTTTTGCCTTTGCTTTTGAATCCTGTCCAAAGGATGGGTTTGGGGAATCGGGATCAACTGTGTCAGTCACAAATGGTAGCTGACTCTTTGTAAATAATTGTCTCACCTTTTACCTGAAAAAGCTTCAGCAGAAAGGACAATCAATTTGGGGAAATCGTATCGAATTACTTTGCCAGCTTGGCCATGTCAAATGGTAAATCAGATGGAGTATAAAATGGAGTTGAAAATTCAATTCAAAGTAACTTAAATTAAATTCACTTTTTGAGAGTGGTATATTATTAATTAGAATAATTAATCGCCTAAAGGGTTTTAGGTTATATTATTTGAATTACTTGTTTGAATTTGTTTTAATCTGTTTTGTAAATTAAAGCCAAGCCAATTAAAGACATTGTTAATTAAAGCCAAAAATATTTATGAGGATTTATTATAGGAAAGTTTTAGGAAATTTATTACCCTGATACTTGTACTTATTCTACGAATCTATTAGGACTTGTTACACTCTTTAGCAGTTTAAATAGATGCATTTTTTACCACAGTTAAATAGCAAGTGTCCTAAAAACACCTAATTATTTATTGTCTATAAGGAATATATTTAAATATATTTAATTCAGGTGAAGTGTCCTTGAAATACATTTTTATTTATTGTCTTTAAGGAACATTTAAAGTCTTCAGCTATTTTTAATTATATTTAATTCATTTTTACTACAGATAAAGTGGCCTTGAAATACTTTCATTGTTATCTTTAAAAGCAGTTAAAGTCATTATAATTTCTATAAATTTAATTCATTGTTTACCATAGTTAAAGTCATCTGCTTGTGTTCTAAGAAAAGTGTTATTTATTATTATTTAGTGCTATTTAAGTGTCAAAATTTGTTGATTTTCTTATATATAAAATAGGTGTGTGTGTCCTGGGTGTCCTGATCAAATTTAAAGAGATCTCCGTCGAATGATTGTTTAAAGCACTTTTCATGCTTCTGTCACGGCCCGTCGCATTTGGCCATTTGGCCATTTGCTCCAAATGTTAGCTGACCCAATTGCGGATGGCCTGTGGGGGGGGGGACTTTAAGGGAGAGCGAGTGAGTAAGATGGGTATACTGTTGTTGCCATCTCGCTCTCGGTGCGGAAACTTGGAGAAGTTGAGGGAATGGAATTGGTTTTGACTTTGGGCTTTGGCTTTATCCAACATTAGCTAATTTGTGTGCTCTCCTTGCTCTCTTTATTTGACTTGCCTGTTATGTTTTTCCTCGTCCTTGCTCCTTTCCATATATATTTTCTTCCTTTTTTAATTTTTGCATCTTGCACTTGGCCCTTGTCTGAGTTTTTTTCCCCCTTAAGTGTCATTCTGAGTCCTGAATATCGTCCTTGTTGCTCTGTTGCTGCGGATTTCTGTTTACTGTCGTGACACTGATTTCAATTATAAATTTGTTTTTATTTTGCTTTGTTTTTTTTTTCTTTAGTCTCTCTGATTTTTCCCATTTTCTTAACTTTTCCGTATCCTGCTTTTTTTCCCTGGCTGCGATTGCTTTCTCAATTGGTGCCGCTGCCAGGAGCGTTTGTCTGGCTATCACTTTTAATCTAAGTTGGTAACAATGCCCATCTTGTAACCAGAAGGTTTGTCTACCTTATTGTCCTTCTCCTGGCCAGGATGTGAGGGCTCCTTTTTAGAGTTTCTCTTCCTTTTTTTTTCCTTGCTAAGAGCTATAGGCTTATGTCTGCTACTGTGGTTACCGAATCATTCAATGGAATTGGTCTTGAAGGTACTCTGGTTTGATTAAAATTGTCTTCTTTCATGGGAAATGTAATGTAAATCTAAGAAGGAAATGGGATTTATTGATTATTATTTATTTCTTTATATATTTTCCATTAAGTTATTGTTTTAATTACTTATTTTTGATGTAGAAGTTGCGTTTTTTCCTTTTTTTCTTTTCATTATTTATTTTCTTTATACATTTGGTACTCAGTAGTTATTTGAATTTTTTCAATCATTCTTTATTTTTTTATTAATTATCCGTAATTTCTTTATTCAGTTTTCCTCTCTCTTTTTGTTGACATTCATTTTAAATGCTTTCCCCATTTACAGGAAAATATTCGTTTAAGTTTAAGCCCCACTTTATTGCACCTTCGGAGGTCTTTCCGCGAATTGTTTTCTTCGCCTCCTCATTCGCATTCTCAATTTCCCGGTGCCAGGTGCCAGTTTTACAGGTGCCAGTTTTACAGGTGCCAGTTTTACAGGTGCCAGGTGCGGGTCGCCTTCTCTAACCCCTTTTTCCCACCCATTTGTCTGGTTGAAATCTGAAGTGAAAATGCAGTCAACCCTAATCAAATTTTCGCTGCAAATTGACAGTTTGCCTGCAGATTTT